AGGTCATCTTCAGAATGATCTTCTAAGGGGATAAAAAAAATGTGTGTAGATGAAAAGGAAGCTAGTATACCAGTGATTTATGAAAATGTGATCTCCACGAAATGAACCCTGGCAGGAACAGTATTACTTTATTAGCCAAGACTGAGAACTCTTAAGTCAGTGTCCTTCTCAGAGAAATACCAGGAATGCTACCCAAATATACTCACACCGCATTATAAAGAGAACAGCTAGAAGGGATCATGTTCCCACTTTATGTTGGAAACCAAAAGCTTGCAGATATTTTCCGTTTTAGCCAAGGGTACACGGTAAGTCTATGGTGTATGGAACGAGTCACAGGACACGGTTTTCAGCCAGGCAGGGAAGCATCTGTTTCAAGAGCGGGTCGGAGTGTCCAGGGCTCACTCACAGCTTGAACACCATAGTTCCCAAGTCAGTTGTCAGGCTCTGGCTGTTTGGGTTCCTTCCGTCCCCTTTACCTCCAGTTACCACATTTCCTGGAGAGAGCAGCCGTCCTCACAAACTTGTAAACATAATAATGATGTTTTTCTTAGACATGTACCCTTAGCCTGAGGGCCTTCAGAGTCCAGGAACTCCCTGGAACTTTATGTGAAAGTGTCTGTAGAAACTCTCTTCCGACGAAAAGGTCCACAGCTTTCCCTTGGACTCTGAAAGGATGCACGACTCACCCACACAAACACAAAATCCCTGCTGTAAACCACTACTACAGCAGACTCAGTGTACATTTCTTATCGTTTCAGAAATCATCCAGAGTGGTTTTGGGGTGAGGAATAAGAGCAATTTTTTTTTCTGTTTATATATTTAAAAAAATTTTTTTAATTTACAGTGTTGTATTAGTTTCTGGTGTACTGCATAGTGATTCAGTTTATTATATATATATATTTATACACACACACACACACACAACACATACATACATACATACATACTCTTTTTCATTACGGGTTACTATAAGCCATTGAATATAGTCCTTTACTATACTGTAGGATCTTGTTGTTCATCTGTGCCATACACAGTAGTTTGTATCAGCCGATGGGGGATAAGAGCAATTTCACCACCCTATGCCACGAGAACTTTTGGTGGAGAAGACAGTGACAGTATTCCCCAAATCAGGCAGCACATACAAAAACATCAGTAAGTTTTAGATGGGATGGAGCAGAACGAGGGACCCAGCAAACACAACCTCCTTGATCCAGTTTGCTGATACTGTCCAGCATCCTACTTTACAGACGGGTCAGGCAACAGAGACACA